GATGTTGCAAGAACCAAAATCGGTTTTCGATGTTGAGAACACGTCAGAATACTCGAACAGAGCGTCCGCCAAGCGATCTATAGCTTGCGGTGTCCATCCCGGATTGTGCAAATCGAAGGCGATGTCGTGCATGTGTGCCGGCAGCCTAGCCCACAAACGCGAGAAGCTGGAGCGCTGAGCCTCGGAGAAGCGGTCCATCAGTCCTTGGGGAGGCAGCTTCGGAGGAGGCGGGACTGTTAGTAAATTGTTAAACCATTTGTCTAGTCAGCGCTGACTGAGTGGTCTAATGGATAAGCCTTTACCAATCGAAGCTGAGGTCGAGGGCTTCCTCTTGCGGAGTGACAATTACAGAGGATGATGCTAACAGACATCTTGTGCGCAACCTCCTCCCCGAATATGATGCCTACACAGGTTTTCTGATGTCCGAGAGCGGTCTAGAGAAGGAGAGAGTAGAACGGATTATAGTGAATGCTTGGGCGGAGATGGAGGCGCGAAGGAAGAAGAAGCAGGAGAGCGTGGGGGCTTATGCCCTCGTCACTGNAGCCACAGCAGCAGCATCAGCCGTACTTCAACCAGCAGCAACAGGTATAACCGCCGTCGTACCCGCCTGAAATAAGATATTGTGACCTCCACAACTCCCCGTCCCACAGCAACGAGGAATGTCGCTTGCAGCGGGGTTGGGGAGGTCCCTCGGGCGGCCAAGGTGCGAGCTACGGCGGAAGGCACGGGCCCCAGCATGGGGGCCGGGGCTTTTCTGGAGGAGGACGTCATCAGCAGCAGCCGGCAGGAGGAAGATTCGGGGGACGTGGCGCCGCTTCCGGTGGGAGGGGCAGGGGCCCTTTTCACCAGGGACCGCCGGGAAGCAACCTCCGCGCCTACCCTGTACCTCAGCAAGGCTACGACTACAGCACCTACCCCCCCAACATGTACCGCCCACAGGGAAATGAACCTCCCATCCACCCGAATGACCCTCGCAAGCGGTGTGAGAACTGCGGTGAACTCGGCCACAACCACGTTTTTCTGTCCTTCGCGTGTTGATGTCGGGAGGCCAGCTGGCATGCCGGCAGGCAACGCGCCGCCCAGGCACCCGCCGCCCCGGCCGCCGGCCGGTGGTTACAGCCAGCGGCCGCCTTGGGCACACTCGTATGGGCAGGCAAATACGGCGCAGCAATACGGCGGAGAGGGTTACCCGGGGGTAGCGCCAGGAGCAGCAGGAGCGACGGCGGTGGCGACGACAGCTCCATCTACAGGGGCGCATGCGGTGACGCACGTGAGCGGCGTTTACCAAAATCCGGTGACGCACGCGAGCGGCGTTTACCATTACTCGCCCCAACAGCAGCAGCCGGAGTACCTTCCCCCCCCCGTGCAACAGCAGCAGCCCATCTCCAACCCGTACGCTCCTCCGGCGCCTTCGACCGGAGCGTCTCCATCGACTGGTGGGGATTTACATGCGTGTGTGGTGTGGGCTTTTCCAAGTGAGTCTGAGAATGGTGTGCTAGTAGAGCGAAGGGACGACGGATATGCAATGATGAACGTCCTTGACGAGAGTGTAGGAGATGAAACTTGGCTTGCAGACTCTGGCGCCACGAACCACACCACAGGTGACCCGAGGTGCATGTACGATGTGGTGATTCCTCCGCCTGGTAGGGAGCGAGTGATGATTGGAGATGGTAGGACGATGCCTGTGCTTGGTATCGGCAGCCTGAATGTCAAGTTCCACAATGGTGGAAGCGATTTTTGCGTGAAGCTCACCAACGTGCATCACGTTGAGGGAATGGGTTACAATTTGTTTTCGCTCCACAAGGCCATGGGAGGGCAACGAATTAAGATGGATCCTATAGGTATCCACCTGTTTAACGGTGAATTAACTTTTCCCCGTGGCGAGCGCGGTTCATCCTTGAGAGCGACTCGTCTACCGCCCGATTACACGACGCCAATTGCTGTGCCCATGATGACACCGTTACCCCCGCCTCCCCCTTGCTCTGGAGACGTTGTGAGTGTGACTGGTGTTGCAACAATGCATGCAATCCCCCGCATGCAGCATTCGCCCCAAGGTGTAGCGTACATGCCCTATTCCTCGTTTTCTCGTGTCCCGCCCACTGTCGCCAGCGCCGGCAGTGTAGTACCTCCAACGGTGTCTAAAATATTGTGACCTGAATCACCGTAGCATCAGCTCGACTACATGGACTGTAGTCTAATGCAAATCGTTGACGATTTTAAGAAAACTATGAGGGGTTCGTTTCGCGCCGTGTACCGCCTTCATCATGAATGAACCCGCGGCAACTCGCAGAGTAACGTAGATAACTCGCGGCCCTCTAGAATGATGGGCGAGGGCCCGAGGGGCGGAGTGTATGGAGACCCCACATAGCGATAGCACACGCATCAGCTTGAGAGTGTCTTGCGGTTCAAAGGTTCGTAATCTGCTGGTACACCTGGACGGTTTCTCTGTAGACGAAATAGGGGGAACCGTCTGATCAGTCCGGAGATCGGGTAGAGAGGACATCGTTTTCCTTCATCGAGAGCACGAAGCACAACCTCTGGTTCACAATACTGCTGCGGGGAAACAACCACTGGTATATGGTAGGGGGCTATGGAATGGTATGAGGCTTGGGGTAGTGCTGCTGCCGTCCGTGTGAAACAGCCCGGGGTAGCGCCGGCCTCAACTGAAGCCCTTTCATTTCTGTGCAAAAAAAAATGGATTGGCCGCCTCAAGCGATAACTCCGAAAAATGTGCTACGCTCAGGAACATTTGTCTGAGGTATTAACTACGCCCAGGAATATTTGTCTGAGGAATTAACTATGAAATGAGTGCTCTCGCGCAAAAAAGTAGAAGACGAGATGGTAGAGACAGAATAATGAACATTCATTCATAGAAGCACATGCATTACGCTCTTCGTACAATACCGTCAATCAGCGTTTTCGAGGACAAACATGTATATCATGTTCACACAGTGTGCAGACCGAATGAATGATGAGCTTTGACAGGAAAAACAAATGTTAGAACGGAAACTCCGTGGCGGGCTCAACCGTCGGGGTCGTCGTCATTTCATGCACGACTTGGCCAGCACACTTTTGTTGTAGGTTCGGATGCATGTGTGACAGTTGGTCATTCTTCTTCCTCTGCTGATAGTGATATAGTCTACACAAGTAGAGTACACGGCATACTTTCGCGCGTAGAGGCGAATTGCATTGCAGTGCGACATGCCCGCGCAGCTACTAACCCGGGCTCATCACGCCTCCCAGGCAATGAACAGACTTGTCATGGCGAGGATTGATTGATTGTTGTCCGAAGGCGTTCTGGACGCAAAGAGTGGGACTGACTGGTTGTTGGGTCAAGGCATCAGATCATCGCCTGCACGTCGCGGCAGTATTACGAATCTCGAGATACATCGCCCGAAGAAATTCAACTTGCTTTTAGATAAGAGACCGATCGCCTCCTCTAAAAGCAAGTGAATCGCAGAGAGTAGGGCCACTTCTATGGAGACTCATTTTCGGAGAATCTTATTGGAGTCACTTTTTGTGGGGTCAAAATCGAAGATAGCTCTGAGAATTTCCGTGACAGAAGACTCAAGCCTCATAAGGCTTCACAACAAAAAGTACACGTACATGTACCAGCAGTTTGACAGTTGCACCGGAGGGAAATTCCATGAGGCACGTCATGATAGGTCTCATGACGTGTCTCATGAGAGGTTTCATGAGGAGTCATGACATGTCTCACGAGACGTCCCATGATCCCTCATGGCACTCACGAGCCATTCCATCACGTCTCACTTGGCGACCCATGAGGTCTCATGAGGCGTCTTATTGATTGTTGAAATAAACTTGCGTGAAGAACAGCTCGTCAAACAGTTGAATACTTTACAGCCCAGAAAATCAACATATCAGGAAGAAAAAATGAAAATCGATCAGGTGCAACCAACAGCCGGTCATGTTAAAACTGCAATCAAGCAGAGTACCGACGATGATTTAAACCCACGTATGTATGCCGGACACACTTCGTGCTACAAGTGGACGTTTCAAACGCACACTTTCCGTGCGGGTTGGATGCTCTCTTGATGTGTTACTCCAAGCCATTCGGTTTTGTGATGATGGCTCAGAGGTTCCCCAGCGAGGACCCAGCTCGTACCATGGTACGCAAGGGGACAAACCCGGCTCCCTCTGTATGGGGTCCTGTGCAAAAACTACATAGGTCATGACCACCACTGTCCCGAAAAAAAATCCGTAACAGATGATGCCGGAACTATGTTCTTGAAATCAGCTCAAAGGGAACTCTCTCCTCAGAAACTGGCGCAGCGGCGTACCCGCGGCTCTTCAGCAGGTAAATGCTGCATCAGCCTGAACATCCTGTAGAGCCACCTTGTCCACGGCCATGCGCGGCGTCATTCCCTGCCTTTCTCGTCACCATGCTGGTGGTGAGCTCGAGGGCGAGCTTCTGCTAGTTTGTTCGGGAGCATCACAATATTCAAGGCTTCACCGCCTGGGAAAACAACAAAACAGTTTCTTCCTACCCGACACTTGATACTTGCCGCTATCCATGCTCGAAACACTTCTAGACTAGACGGAGAACATCGTCCTCCACAGGCGTGTAGGAACACCCCGCGCCCGTTTGCGGCGGCAATCGCTGACCTTGGAAGCGATTTCTGGGCTGCTGTCCACTGGTAGTGGTTCCTGCCGCAGTAATGCCAGAACCAGCACTATGATACGCCCCCCGACGATGAACCTGCAACACCAGAAAACCTGTCGAGAAACGGGAGCAAATGCCCGAAACAAGAGGCCAGCGTCGCATACCTTCGTGTACAAACGAATTCATTCCCGAGCGGGGGACAACTGGGCACCACCGGCGACACTCACACGGCCACCGAAACATGAAACGGGCATCACGAAACCGCACCCTCGAAGCCCCGTCCGAAACACACCGCAGGATAAACCGAAGGAGGAGAAGGCTTGGGTATATTCATGATGGGGGTGTTACTACATCAAGGAGCCCCCCGCACATATCGCCCACAAAAGTCTCTGCGAAATGTAGACGCAACAGAAGAAATAAATGTCACGAGAACGAGCGGTGTATGCACACGTGTGTCTAAAAAATGTCAAGGTAAGTCATGCTTCCTCAGGAAGAACCGGAAACAGCTCGCGAGATGACCCAGCGCCCAGAAAGCTGAGCAGGAAGGAGTCATATCGTGAGACGGATCGAACTTGAGAAAAATTCCCTTCCGGTCTGTCTATAGCCCGAATTTCCCTTGACACGCTGGAGTACGGAGGGTCGATCGCGGTGGTAGGGTTCCCCAACCGCTGGTGGTGTCTCGGCTCATCTTGAACGCCCCAACCTCTCCCCTTTCTTGCCAAGACACAAAGACTGAGTCGAATACCACATTTCCGTGGTACGCACGCATTCCTGCACTTCACCGCATCGAGTGGTCGCGCCGCCAAAACCATGCTAAACCGGTAACACACCTTGCCAAATTTTGGCCAAAAAAAAAACTATCTGCCGTTGTAGATGAATAGCCTCAGCCTAATAATTAGCCTCCTGCTACGGGTGGGGTACGAGGGCACGCCTGCACTACGCAGGAGGACGGGTTCCGTTGTCCACTCCAGCACCAGCCCTTGTCAAGAGCTCGTCGTACTGTGCCCGGTACATGTTCTGCATCTCCCGCATATCCGCCTGGGGTGCAGAGAGCGACGTCGACGGCAAGGACAAAGAGGGAAACAGGGACAACGTCGGCTAGCGCCCAGCCGGCAACAACGACGACCAGGAAGGAGGCATTGTTGTGCGTCTTATTTCGAGTAGCGGACGCCGGTCTTTGCCCGGAACGTCAACACCATTCCCCCCGAAAAAGCTCCAGGGTCGAAAATTCCACCGACGGGTCTCCGGCGTGATTATCACACACCCGTCTTTGCAAAAACTAGCACTCCTCACACACACACGAAATACGCTGCCACAAAACGTCAGACGGGTCGGCGAGGCCTCGAGACCCCGACTCCTGCCGCCAACCACAAGTGAAGTCGTGGCCGAAGCTCCCTACCTGGATGTTCGCGAATTTCTCGTCAAGTCACGAGTTCTGGCTGGCTTTGGCATCACTGAATCGATTCTACATTAGGTGGAAAGACTCGGACAGGCTCAACTACGTCCAGGGTCCATCGGGTGTAGCACATGTGTCTCTCAAGTCTCAGTACTGCTTTAACGACTCCCGTCCGGCAGGATTCCATCGAACGTGCCATGACGTCATCTAGTCAAAACGGTCCTTCCCGTGTGCGTGATGTGTCCGGCTTGTCTTTCGGCAACAGAGTAAAACAACCCACTCTTTGCTCACCTGCACAGCCTCCAAGTCCTCGGTCTTCTCCCCGAGAAGGTCCAGCAGGACGCCGTTCTTGTCCTGCAGCTCTAGGGCCTGCCAAGCCAACACGATTGCCGGCGAAACAGCAGGGAAAGCGGAGGGGGGGGGGGGGGGTGGCAGTGGAAATCAGCGGCGAGGCGTTCAGTCCGCGAGTCCTCAAGGGAGCCAGCAGTGCTGAGCGGTCAACAAATACATTCTGTCCGCAGTGCGTGTGCGAAAGGTGGCTGTTGCCAATTGATTGCGGGGAACGTCTGTACACTGTGGGGTGTCTCACCCATCGATGGATAGGGGAAAGGTTGTTCCCAACATATCTTCTGTGAAAACCGCCTCAATCATTCAAGCAAAGACCCCAACAGCTTTCCAACAGCACAAGGAAGAAACAAGTGGCACTGTGCCGGGCAACACACCGCTCCACCGGTTTGGGTCCAGCTACTTCTTGAAAAGAAGTCCGTTCATTCTGCAACGTAATTTTTCCGTCACCTGGTCTCTCAATAGGGGCACGGCCTTGGCGAGGGCCTCCAGCTCGGTGTTCCTCCTCCCCAGCGAAGTGACTTCTTCGGTCAAGGCGTCTCGTGTAGCTTGCACCGCTTCTAAACTGTTTTCGAGAAAAAAATGAAAAGCCGAGAAACAAAAAAAAAGAACAGGCCTTGCAGACTGGCTTCGAGGACAAGAAAAGAAATGAAACGAAGTCTTCATCAAACACGGCCCTTAGTGTCATTTTCTTATACCCTGCGTCACTTCAATTTTCAAGCAAGACAAAAGCGAGAAAGAACAAAGAGCGACAAAACGAAGTCCAAGTCCCGAGAAGCCAACAACGGTGTGCGATAAATAAAGTACACACGTCCTTAGAGGTGGAATAAACCGTGCACCTCTCCCTCAACCGCCGCAACTTGCGGAAAGGATAGGCTGTAGCATGGCCAGCTAGACTGACGATGGAAGACGCACAAAAACAAAACAAAAACAACAAAAATGGCATGTCTGTCTCACTCACCGTTGCTGCAGGACGTCCACCTGCCCCTGGCGCTGCTTGGCGAGACTGTGAAGTCGCTCCACCTCAGCGAATGAAGCGCCGGCCGCGCCCCCGCCCCCGCCCCCCCCTCCGTTCGCAGCAACCCCCGCTCGAGGAGTCCCGCTGCATGTCCAAGGCAGAGAAATATTTGCGTTCGTCAGAATGCGTGTGTATGGAGTGTTACAAGGCAAGAGATGTCACAAACGCATATAAACACAACAAGGACAACACCTACACCGTAGGGCAAAACCGTGCGTATCGACGGGTAAAATGCCAAGACCAGCATGACGAGGACATGGTACAAAAATGACGGATGGCAACACGAGGGGATTAGCTATCACCTGCTCTCCGACCCGGTGCTGGTCCCGGCCGTGCGCCTACTCTCTCTCTCTCTCTCTCTCTCTCTCTCCCCGAAAAACCGCAAAAAAAACACACCCAAAGGTCGCCCACCAATAGTCGCCACGCTACACCGGCACAGCTCTTCATTTGCAGGAAATGAAAACGCCTTCAGGAACACCAACTTTACAGAAGATACGCTCGCGTTCTATCGAAACCTCCAAAAAAATCCAACACATAAATCATATGTTCGCAACATCAGTAAGTCTCCCACGGATCAATCCAGCCCGCAACCTTCCGATACTGCCCTACCAAACAAAAAGAAACCGATCCTTCATCCTTCGGGTTTCAGCAGAGGTGCGTTTGCCTCACCTCCAGCAACACCCGTCTCCGCCGATGGTTACAAAACAACACCTAGCTGGTCCTTCCGCCAGGGACCTATCAAGCAGAGTCGACCACCATCACCGCGGATTCCTCCGTCACACATGCATATTTATACCCATGAGTATATCCCCGGCGATCTTGCAGATCTTACCTCTGACTGCCTGCGAAGGAGTCGTCGATCGAAAAAGAACCCGAGTCTCTCCGACTCCACGTCTCCGGGGGACCTCTCCTGCCTCCCCTGTCCAGAGACCCCCCGTAGAGTCTACTGCGCGACAACGGGGGGCGTGTATTTATTGGGATGACATCGTGCGGATGAAAACATGAAAGTGAATTCCGGAGTATGAAAATACTCCACTCATAATCTGAAGGTAGTAGAGCCAGAACATGCCGCACTCCCCCTCGTCTCGACGCGTAAAAGGTCGCTACAGCTACTGATTGCAATGGCCGAAAACACAAAAGAAAAAAACGAGACAACCTTAACAGACCGGAGCCTCCACCCTCTCAACATGGGGCGACGGAGAGGACAATATCATTCGCTTGTACGGGCACACCACGATGGACCCCGTGCTACATTTGCCCGCAGGCTGTTCGCTAGTATCGCGCCCCCACGACCCCGCGTCCGGCAGCAGCAAGTAGGGTACAACAGGGCAAAAATAACCTTCCGAAGAGATCGGGAGCCCTCACTACTTCCAGCGCATCCAAGGACAGCCCGCACGTGTCTCGTGTTAGCATACATCACATGCCGCTTGCAGGCAACATGTCGCCCGACATACAAAAAAGGTCACAAACCTCTCACTTCACGGTACCCACGGCAGCCACCTCTACCTCCACAACACTGACAAACCTGCTGTTCTGCTGCCCCCCCCGCCTGAGCGCGTCCAGCTGTTCCTTGAGGCTGCTCGTGATGTCCTTGGACTCCCTCCTCTCGCCCTCCAACCGTCGGAGGGCCTCGGCCGCACGGTCTTCCGCTTCCCCCAGCTGAAGCCATTGCCATCGCCATTGTCATCGCCAATTGTCGTTGTCATCGCCAATTGCCGTTGTCATCGCCATTGCCATTGCAATTGCGATTGACACATAGCACGAAAGAGACACGACGGGTGTGAGCGTGCCTTCAATATCACCAGGAGACAGCAATTATCCTTGCAGATCGTCGTCGAGGTGTCGGACATCGCAGGGAAATATTCCACACGTTCGAGGAGACGATGGAATGAGGGCTGGGCCGTTTGTCGGTTGCGGCCGACTCAAGTTGGCCCAGGAAAACAGCTTATGCGTCTCAACCGATGCGCCATGCTGCCAAACACGGAGCTCTCTGCCGCCCATTTGGTGCGAACCAAGTACAAATACCATGCGGCATGCTTGCGTGCGGGTTGATGATGCGTGGGAGAAGAGAGATAGAGAGATAACAAAGGAGACCGGTAAACAACACCAACGCGACCTCAAACGCCCGATAGGTGTGAAGGAGCTACACATGTACATCATTCCGTGTTGGATGGCAGATGGGTGGAAAAAGAAGCGCCAGGGAATTGAGAACACAACGAGGGCGAGACACGCCAAGGTGCCGCCATGCGCTGGATCCCACAACGAACGACACCAGAAGCACATCTACACCACCGACAGCAAAACACGTCACCAACACAGTGGTGTCCGCTACGGGGCACCCACCTGCAGCCTGAGCTTGGCCTCGGTGCTCTTGTGCTTCAAGGCCGACGCCCTCGACGACTCCTTCAGGGTAGACAGCTCCACCTCCACCTCGGAAGCTCTCTATGGTTAGCAACCGTTACCGTACAAATACAACGCCAAGAGCGGCAACAGCGATAAAAGAAGAGCCATGTGGCCCCATAAAGAAACACCGTACATGGGAGATGAGGATGGAAGGGGGAACGACAAACCGAATATTTGGATACGTCCCGAGAAATACGACGTCCAGTAAAAAAACGACAAGGCGGCTCAAACAAAGGCGTTGGCATGCCACGTGCTTCTGGGGATTTCCAAGCAAAAAAAAAATGACAAAATAAGAAAGCTCTGGAGCCCCGTGGCTGGCTCGCCGCAAGTGCGCAAAGATCGCGCTACGCAAGAAAATCGCGAGAACGGTGAACCGAGTTACACGGAGATCAAAAGGAGTACAACATTGCAGCTGTGGAGGACACAATACATAGAAGTAGAGGCTTACCTGTGCGTGTTGGTCACATTTGGCTTTGAGCTCCTCGTTGGACGTCTCCAGGCGCGTGAGCTTGAATCCTAGGCTTTCCACCTGGGCATGTCCATACGGCGCCAGACAGACAGACAGACAGACAGACAGACAGACAGACACGCAGGCAGAGACAGACGGACAGAGAGAGAGAAAACGCGCACAAATTCAAGTTGGAGACAATTGGCGGCAATACACGAGTAATCTCAACACAGCAACAACACAGCAGCGGAAAACGAAAACCTCCCCAACTACACCCCCAGGTCGAACAACCAAACACGCACACACACACATCGCGTGCCAACAAATCGACGAGGCAGGTGCTCCGTCACGCCGCCACCAAAGCAAAGCAATGCCGACGAAAATTGCTTCGTCACCTCTCCCTCTGCCTTGTGGGCCCGCTCGTCCGAAGCCGCCACCGCCGCCTCCGCCACCCTCCTCCTCCTCTCGGCCTCCCGGCAGGCCAGCTCGGCCGAAGCAGCGCGGTCCGTCAGAGACGCCTCGGCGGCACGCACGGCCTCCTGCCTCAGACGCATCTCCTCTTGGAGGGAACGCACCTGGACATTGTTGTTTGGTTGTTTCATGAATTTCTGGTCGGGTAGGTCGGTTGCTGGATATTTTGGGTTTCGGTTCTTATTCTGTTTGTAGTTTTTGGTTCTGTTGTTTTTGTCCTCGTTCTGGTTGTGTCACTGGGGCTTGGTTCTGTTGATTGCCCGGTTGTGTGATGAACACACCGGCGAGAGCACGAGGAGCAGCACAAACAGCACAAACGAGGGAGCACAACACCGCGGCATAGGCAAAGGAAGGTTTTGGAACACACGCCCACGCCCACACGCGCGGGTCAAATGCCAGCGACAACAAACAAAACACGTGCAACCCAACAGAAAAAGACAAATCAAATGCCCCTTGAAACACAGAAGCAAGCCAGGCGAGCACCCATCCACAATCCGACAAAGCATGGCGTGGGGAACCGAGAGGCGACGGAAACTTCCCGACAAGTCAGGGGGACCACCAAAAACACACGACACGTTCTCAATATCGTGGTACCCCGCAAGCACTCTGTTCATTTTCCCGAAGTTATTCCGAACAGACCCACCGACGCCGCTTCACTGTTATCGCGGTCGGCCTACCCAACGGGTCACACCTGTCGGAGGAGAGGGGCGGTAGACTCGTGCGCCTCGGCTTGCAGGGCCTCCGCACGCCCCACAGCCTCCTTCCACCTGGGCAAAGAAGGCCATAACGACCACAACGAAAAATGGGAACATTCAACTGGTCTGCCACAACTATCATGATAGCCCAAGCAAGACACAACCCGGTGCGTTTAAGCAAAAAAAGACAGCACTGAAGCCGCCGTTTGTGGCAGCTTTGCCGAGGGAGGCTCCTTCTCCTGCGATTTCGAAACTATTTTCTCGGCACCGCATCCCACACCTCTCGATAACGCCATGGGTGCATCCCCGAGTCATCCATTCCTCCAATCGTCATATCAGAGATCGCTACACCAAGATTGCAGGGTCTGCTCGCACCCTCGAACCATTCATCCCATCAAAATCAACCGCCACACCGCCTTAGCAAAAAACTATTGAAAACGCCGCAGTTTACAAACCGAATCCGTCCTCAAAAGCTCTAATGCAGGCGAACGGGTCGTCACCTTCTGCGGACGTCTTCGTTCACAGCCGAATCCGTCCTCAGAAGCTCTAATGCAAGCGAACGGGGTTATCACCTTCTCCTGATGTCTTCCTCGCGGTCCTTTGCGTCGTCCTCCCTGCGATCCGCCTCCCGCCGCACGCGCTCCAGCGTCTCCTGCAGCTGCGACTGAAAATCAAGGGCAAGGAAACAGCCACAAGGGGTGGAGGGGAGGGGGGGGGACGCACACCAGGCCGTGAGGGTGTGTGTGTGTGACAGAGAACACATCGCGAGTGAGGTCAGAAAAAAAACGTTTGGTCGGGGTTCGGATCAGTCGTTGTGCGTGGTGTTGCGGTGTAAGCAAGTCAACCCTTTAGCCCTGTCCCAGAGTGCCGCTTGCCACGCAAGGGCTCACAGGTTGAAGTGCGTCCCTATTGTATCACCAATCCTTCTTGGGTTTCCGTTCTAAACCGGGTCAATACGCCCCAAAGACCGAGATATCTCTTGACGACGACCGCAGCAGAAGTGCCAGTTCGCAGCACAGAACGCTCTCCAAAACCAATTTTGGTCCGGCCTTCCAAGTTTAAGTCTTCAAACACACACAATTGTTCAGCCGGTTAGTGCGGTCGATGATAGCAATAAAAAACACACACAGAGCCACACACACAAAGACATACGCCCTCGCGCACGCGCGCCTTCGCACAGACCTGTTCCCGGAGGAGCGTCGACTCTCTGTCTTGCCACTGCTGCAGCTGGGACTCCGTCGCTTTCTGGGCCTTGCCCCCGTCCTCCAGGCTCTTGGTGAGGGCCTGAGCGAGAAGAAACAACACCGTGCCGTATACCACCACATAGCACAGGGCAGAGCAGTGAGCGGGGTTAGCAAATACTCAGAAGTGGGTACAATTACGCCGCAGGTCAAGTCTTCAAGCAGTACCTGAGTGAGGCGTCTGAGGAGAGTTGGGAAAAGTACAGGGCCAAGAGAAAACAGGTGAAGGGACTAATGAAAAAGAAGAACAAGTGCACTTGGGACGGAGTAGTGCAGAAGGCCAACGGAGGCCTGGAGGGGAACGTCAAGCAGATGAGGGATTAGTGGAATGGTAAAAAAGACCGCGCAGGGGGGGGATACAGGGGTAGCAACCTTGCGAGGTGTGAACTGTGGAGTAGTCAACAGTGGGAAGGGAATAAGGGAAGCTCTAGCAGGACCCCACAAGAGACTTTGAGTGCCCTCGGAGAATGAAGTTTTTGACCAAGTGTTTCAGAAGGAGGTGGACGCATGGGCCCAGAAAAAAGAGACATCGAAGGCAGATGTTGGGAACGTAGAACTAGAAAAGGAGTTCACTGAGGNCAAGTGCCACAAAGCAGCAGGAGCGGATGGGATAGTCAACGAGTTCATGAAGTTTGGGGGGAAGGGGATGATCCAGCTGATGGTACTGCTGTACAACAGGGTGTGGAAAAACGAGTATACGCCAAGTAGATGGAGGGAAGGAGTGGTTGTGAACTTGTCTAAGCAAAGAGACAAGACTGACTCAGGAAACTACAGGGGGATCACACTGTTAGGGGTGCCAATCGGTCAAATTTCCAATAGGAAAAAATTTCGAAAAGTGTCCTGGATCTTCCAGATGGAAAATCGCTCGAGCCAAAAAAATCACATCGAACGTTCCGAAGAACCCCGCCAGAACCAAAAAACACCTGACGCCCCGCGAGCGCGAAGCGTGTGTGAACGCGTTCCGCCGTGCCGTGGAGGTTGCACACGGCACCCTAGCGGCACCCTAGCGCCGTCCGCAACCTAGCAAACATGCCTGGTGGCTCACTCGAACAGCCGCCGGGCGGTGGGACCGCGCGGACTCCTCCTGCTGGAGGAAGCAGTGCTCCTCCTGCTGCTGGCGAAAAAAACAGCAGCAGCGAGGAAGCACCCATCATCTACGCCCACCGCCTCCGCCTTCGCCTTGTCTCGTTCAGCCTCTTGCTTCCTCCGCTCTGCCTCTTGCTGCGACCGCTCTGCCTCTGCTCTCTTAGCCTTCTCCTCCTTTAGCGCCTCGGTGCTCTCGCGCGCGAGCTCCTGAGCCATGCTGCACTCAGCGGTGCTTGCCGCCTCGCGCTGTTTACTTTCGACCAACTCATGCTCCTTTTCTGTCAGCGCTTTCTGTGCGGCGGCAACACCGCCCCTTTCGACCGC